CCGGAGCAGGAGGAGTGATGTGTAAAGCTATATGCGTTTTGAACTTTGTTGGCAACCTCAATGCCATATATGTCATTTTCAAGACTAACTCTATCCTACAAACCCGTACATGATGAGCTTCCTTTTTTTCCTTCTGTGATCATACAACCATGCGAGTATCTTAGGCATGTTAATCGTACCGTCTTTCCTTGCTTCAAGCGTTCAACATATATCTGTGTGTGACTGACATTTTTGTTTTCTTTGTGCATGTTTACATGGCGTGCTTTCATATTATGCAGAAGATGCCAACCATACAGATAATGCAAGTTCCCATATCATTGAGACATCTTTGAGGAACTTGGGGTGTTCCTTCTTGCCTTTTTCTACTTCACCTTACGAATGAGGATGATTACGTAAGGTGAGGATGATTATGCCAACCATACATATAAGTAAAAAGTTATATATTATATCTTTATTAAGTAATAACCTCTTTTCGAGGTGGGCATCATGTGGGTTGGTCAAGTTGGACTTCAATTCATTGACCAACCTGAACCCAATAGACTTGGGTTGGAGTTTTTCAAACCAATTGGCACCCAAGAAAATTGGTAACCCAACACACATGAACCTTCTTAGGAGGTTTGGGTTGGCTGGGTTCCACAAATTGGAATTTATTTGTTTCTTTCTTATTTCTAATGTGAGTATGATAATCAATGCCAACCCCAAACTAGGCTAAATCATGTGAATTTGATGTTGTTATATCACTACACGCTAAACATGTATGTTTAAGAATAATTATCATTCGGGTGGGTTGGTTTTAATTGGATTAATAAAGGTTTAAATGTCAAAATGGTCCCTGTGTTATAGTAATATGGCCAATTTAGTCCCTATGTTTTCGATTTGGTTAATTTAGTCCTCATGTTTGTCACTGTTAGCCAATTAAGGACATTTAATTCAATCTCTTTAAAAAAAAAACCCATAAGAAAAATTATATGAGATATAATTACACTTTCTCTTTACAGAAAAATGCAAATCAATGAGAAATTACACATATAAGAGATAAAGCTTCCAATTTGAAAAATGATTAAGGTTGTGACATAGAAAAGAGAGGGGGTAATGTTAGGGAAGAGGTCGGCGAGTTAGGAGGAGAATAAATTTTCTTTTAATTTTATTTCATTTTAAAATAATTTTAAATCAAATAATAATTTTATAAATAAGTTTGTAACAATTTATAAATTTTTTCCATAAATTAAATGGAAATGTCCTTAATTGGCTAACGAAGATAAACATAAGGACCAAATTGGCCAAATTGAAAACACAGGGATTAAATTGACCCAATAACTAAAACACAAGGACCATTTTAATATTTAAGCCATTAATATTACTGCAACCCAACCAACCTATATTGAAAGGGTGGTCGGGTTTTTATTCAAGAAATAAAGTTTTAATGTTTAAAACTCAACCTAACCCATAGTAGGTGGGTTGGTTGGTAAACCCACTAAAATGCTCACCCCTAACCTCCCTAAAGTTATAAAATTAGTTTGGTCTCAATATTATGACTATATAAAGTTTTACAGTATGAAGATAACTCGTTTCGAAATGTCTTAGAGAAATATTTGTGGGTTCCAAAAACACTTGAAGTGTTTCCTAAATATTTACTTATAGAAAGCACTTCAAGTACTTTTCCATTATTTACTTGCATTTTTACGTTTGGTAACCCGTTTATAAGTGGGCTTCCCTAATATGAAATGAAAACAAAATTGAAAGTGAAAGTGCAATAAATAATATTTGTCACAACTCGTCCATGCACATACCCATTTCACTGCTCCACCGCCCATCACCGTCCATTCCTCACATTAGACGGTCCACCATCTCTCTTCCTCTGTCTCTCTATAAAGTTTTCTCTCTAACCCTTGGAATTGTTCCAAAATTCTTCACCTAGATTTTTTATCACAAGGAAAAGCTTCACCTTCTCATACATTCGATCGTATATATACACACACATTTTTTTTTCTTTACATATAGCATTGGGTTGTTGGTGGAGCGCCCTCGTGATCAATTCCGCAACGTAATTCCTTCAATACAACGCTATCTAATCATGTTCTCTGATTTTAGCACCAATTTCGATACACTTCATGAAATTTACAATTAGTTAAAAAAATTCGATGTTTTGAGGTTTTTTTTTTATTTTTTTTATTTTTTATCTTGGATCATATTTTGGATTTGTTGATTTCGATCCTTGATCCATGTGAGTATTTCTCCTCACGCTTAAAAGGTAGGAAATTTTCGTTTCAAATGTTGTTCTTTTTCGAGAATCTTATATTTGAATTCTATAATTATACTGTTTGTTGCTTTGGCAGTATAGCTATTTCGGTAAAATTTCTGAGAATGGTTAGATTGGCACAAGCAAGTTGTAAAGTGATCATAACGGCCAATGTTTCTATATATATTTTTAGTTTCCTCCAACATCTTATTTAAGATTTTCGAAATGCATAATTAATATTTACATAAAATGCTAGAAACTTGTTGAGAGTGAATGATTTATTATCATGCGAAAGCAGACATCTTATCTTCCTACCAATTTGAAACCAAAAGAATGATCATATGAATGGTTTGTCATGCTTAATCTAATGAAATTATGTCATTTCTTTTAAGTGAATTGGGTTATATGAACCGCGATAATCTCGTGGGTCATACATGAGACCTAGCCTAGAATGTTTTTTTTATTTTATTACTTTATTTTTTGTCATTTTTTAGTTGTGTTATCAGAGGTTTTTTTTTTTTTTGTTCGAACCAACTATACTATCTAAGAAAACTAATGAAAATGACTTCAAATCTTTGCATTTTAATAAAAAAAATATACTAATTTTATTTAATGATAAAAACAAAAATTAAAAAAAAAACATAAAAAGCAAGACTTGCGTTGGGCGAGCGTGCTACTCCCCCATCGGCCTTTTTTTTTTGTGCTTAGAATAAGAGAAAGACTTCAAATTAAATTTTTTTTGTTTTATTTTTGTGGTGTTGTTTCTCAATAGTAGTCAAGATGGCGAGAGATTTTTCAATGTGTCCGGAACACAGGGTGATATACAACGTGTCTCTATACAAGTGGTGAGATTATTGTGTTAAAAAATTAATAACATAAAAAATAAAATTTCTCACCACTTACATAATAACACGTGGTATATAACTTGTGTTACAAGCACAGCCACACAAGGCACAAGGAAAAATTTCTCTAAGATACCCAAGCTAAAGAAATTGGATGGAGAGCTACATTTAATTATTGTAGGTACGTAAAAAATGTGAGGGAATTTTAATTTGGTAATTGAAAATAGCTTTTTAAATATAATTACAAGACATAATCTTATCAAGGTTTTGATCTAAATGATCACTTCTGGATTCATCGTTTTCGGCTCAATTGATGCTTTTACAGGACCAAAAAGATTCTAAATTTCAGACCTTATGAAATTGAACAAAAAATTAGACACTATTTATAAAATTGGGTCAATAAGTAGACACTATTTATGAAACTGGGCCAATAAGTAGACATTATTTATGAAATAAACCCAAGAATTAGACACTATTTATAAAATGAAACAAAAAATTAGGCACTATTTCTAAAACTAGACCAATAGGTGAAAACTATTCATGAAACTAGACTATACACTATTTATGAAACTGAACCAAGAACTAGACACTATTCATGAAACATGACCAAGAACTAGGCATTATTTATGAAAGTAGACCAATAACTAGACACTATTCATGAAACATGACCAAGAACTAGGCATTATTTATGAAAGTAGACCAATAACTAGACACTATTTATAAAAGGGGTGTGCTATCCACACACCCTTTTTTACTTTTTACACACCCCTTGTTAATTTATGTCCGTTGATCTTCTTCAATTCATCCGATCCGACGGCTGAAAACTAAAAAGGTGTGAAAGAAGTAAAAAGGGGTGTGTGGATATCACACCCCTTATAAAATAGGACCATGATTGTACTAATTACTATATATTATTTATGACATTGGACCCAATAACTAGATACTATTTATTAAACATGACCAAGAATTAGGCACTATTTATGAAACTGAACCAATAAATAGTATAGTACCGTTCAGTTTCATAAAGAGTGTTCAGTTTCATAAATAATGTATGTGATGGACCTGCGAGTCAGGTTTTTTTTATTATTATTATTATTAAAATTATGTCATTTTCATTAAAATTTAAGTTCTTTTGTTATTTTTATTAAGTTTAAGGGTTTTTTTTATTAATATTTAATTTTTTTTCATTAAATAAAGTTATAGCATGATTTTTTGTTAAAATAAACTTAGCCCAATCCTTTTTATGAAAGCTCCCATTTATCTAAACTAAGGAGGTGGGGGTGGGCTGAGCCTCACAATGAGCTAGTAATAATATTTGGTTCAAAATTATCTTTGGCGAGAATTGAACTTAAGACATCTCACTTACAAGTGAAGATGAATACCACTAGACTGTAGCACTAAGTGATATTAGAGGTTTTTGTGTTAGCGGGTTTTTTTTCGTTTATGCAAATAATTAGCACTAAGAAGACGGCGTATGTGAATCATGCGATGCTTGATTAGAGTTAAAGTACTATTTGTTGACGATGAGGAGCTCTCTTAATATATACCAAGTGTGTGAAAGTTTTTACTTTTGTTTTTAACATTAAAGGAAAGGAAGAGAGTGAGAGAGAATGTGGGAGTGGGGAGAGAGGGAGAGAGGTTTTTATTTTATTTTTTAAATTAAAAATGACAAGTGAGGTTTAAAAACAAATAGCAAAATTTTATTTTGTAAAATTACGTTACTGTCTTTAACTTTTGGCCAAACCAGATAAATGATCCTGGTGGTTATAAGGTATTTGGAAGATAGCTTATGTGCTAAAAAAACTCGGATTTAAACTCCTATGGTGTACTCTGTTAGCAAATTTAGTCCAAAAGTGATTTTTGCGTTAACTATATGTTAATACATGGGTAAAATTGTACTTTGACATGTGCATTTCCTCGTCTCTTTGCTCTCTCTATAACACATCCCCCACCAATACCGCTTGAAGCAGGTTACTAAGATGCTGCTCATTCACCTCAACCGGCAATAAATCATCCATCTCTTTCTCAAAATCAAATACTGTCTCATCAACTGGTGCATCCATATAATTTCCCATACTTGAAGCTGCCTGGATGGTTGATTCTTTTAATTCATTCAGTCCCTGCAATACAAAAGTGTTTCAATTAAGGCAAGATGAACACCTGGTAATTAATATCATCAAATGTTCTAAACTACGGCCTTCTTGCCATTGCAAATCAAAGCCACAGGTTTAATATATCAAAAAACTTGAAAAATAAAAATATATATTATTGTCGTACTCGAGATGAGGCCTCCTGGTAAACCAAAGGCGTTTGCATTTGTCGATAGGCATCTTGCATATTTCCATACAGTTAGATAAAGAAAAGGTTTTGTGTGATTACCTGGTGTTTAAGAGTAGCTAAACTCTTTGTATGCATTGGAGACTGTGGGATGACTCCATTTGATGGAGGAATTCCAAGCAGACCACACATTAAAGTCTGCCATGAAAAAGCTCCAATGATATAGAGGACTGGAACATTGAGCATGTCCTGCGACAGGCCAGTCTTTCAAGCCTTTCAATTCTTGATGTTAGTAGAAAGCAATGAGAGGTCAGTCTTGAAGCTTCCTGCTTATCTCAATGACAGCTTTCCCAGAATTGGTTTTGTGAAAATTCAAATTACAGAGAGACGAGGAAGAATGCACATGTCAAAGTACAATTTTACCCATGTATTAACAGATAATTAACTGAAAAATCACTTATGGACTAAATTTGCTAACAGAGTACACCACAAGGGTTTAAATCCGAGTTTTTTTAGTGTATGGGCTATCTTCTGAATACCTTATGACCACAGGGATCATTTATCTGATTTGACCTTAACCTTTTTATTGTGATAAAGATAAAAATGCCTTTTCACCCTCTTTTGATTGACAAAGATGATTTCGTTAATATGTAGTTTAGATAGTAAAACCTCTTTATAGTAATATTTTATATAAGAATAACCTATTTATAGTCATAAAAAAATTTGGACTCATCCTGAGACAGTTATATTTAGGAATAGACTTCACATTGTAATAAGTTATAGATTTTTAGGTCCATATTAAGCAAAATTGTCTCTATATAGTAATAAATGGCATAAGTATAAAATATGCGTGTCACAAATAAAAGTTTAAGATGGACTAAAATGTTTCTTTTTAATGTTTGGGACAGTGTTTTATTTTTTTAGAGTTGATATCAAGCTTTTGAGCTTGCGGGTACGTAATACATGGTAAATGATGAGTAGATTTTATATTATATATTTTACCCTAATCTTAGTATATTTTGGTTAATATTTTGGAAGAATTTTGATACTTTGAATTGTATTTTCAATATAGGACTTTCGACTTCCTCTGGAGCAAAACAGGATCAAATGGACGAATTTTGGAGTAATTCCAGTTGGAGGACGTTCGTGAGTCACTTAGCTTTATCGTATCAAAATTTGGGATTTTTCCACCAAGCGGTGATTTTCTGGCGATGAAATAAAGAAGCAGTGCGCAGTGCTGGAAAGTGACATTTTGGGCTTAAATTGCGTTTTTGCAGCCCAAGATGACCTCGGATGGGTTCGTGGCCTTCTGGAAAAGTGTTCAGAATATTCCAAACATTAAATCCAGCTATATTGGGCTAGTTTTGGAGCAGCTTATGGGCCAAAACGTGGCTGTTCAGATTTTAGACGAATTTTATTATTTAATTTAGGGTTATGTTTCCTAGGGTTTGGGGGTGGCTTGGCAAATATATTGTCTAGCCGTCTACAGTTTTAGATAACGCTTTATTTTACGCAATATTGGAGACAGAGAGAAGTGCTAGGGTTTTTAAGATTTTCTACTTGAAGGTGTTTTCAATCCTTTTCTTAAAGATTTTTCTATGATTTCAATTATGAATATGCAGAACTAATTTCTATTGCTAGGGCGAAGCCTTGAGCCTTAGCATGAATATGTGATTTTTATTTAATTGCTTATGATTGATTGCATGCGTACTTTGAATTGTTAATCACCGGGATAAAAACTATCTAATTGTCGTAATGCCTGATCACCATTAGGATCTTTAGAAAAGTGATTTGATGCAATTTTGGTCGGAAGGTTCCCTGAAATTGACGCTGGCTTCTTGTGATTAATAATTGTAATTTCTCTTAAGATGAATATCACGTCTTAAGGATTGCATGGTTTTTCAAAGGATTTTCATAAAGCATAATGAGTCTTTCATGTTTAGATTTGATCCGAACGTCCGGACGGGTTGCATGTTAGATATACGTTCTATGTTGGAGGTTCCAAGTAGAATATGAATTAGGAAAATCTAACCTTCAAAGTGGCATGTGTAGATTATAAGTAATTGGTAAAAATTCGTAGAATTGCTAGGTGATGGTGGAACCCTAGTGCTTTCTTAATTTGATTTCTCTCAAAACTGTTTTCTTTTCTTCTCTAGTCCTAATATTACAGATTGTTTATTTTAGTTCATTAAATTCGTTTTTATTTTAATTAGGTTATAAAATCAATCACTTCAATTTCTATTTTACAATAATTAAATGGAATCTGATTAGTTCGAATTATTTAATAATCCCTGTGGAGATGACCTTGCGAAATCCGTTTATACTACAATAACCTTGTGATTCTTGCAAGTAAAATAGGAGAGTTAAGCCCGTTCACATGAGTAGTAAAAATCCTATCAGTAAACATAGACATCTTCTCGATGAAGCCCTAGTATTTCTTGCTTCCCAAGCATGTATACAAAAAAGCATTAAAATAAGCACTACATACATAATGCACTAGATTTTAAAGATTAGGATCTTTCTTTTTCCAATGTTATATCTTGGAAATTGAAGTGCTCCCCTTGTAGTTCTTTGTATCCATACAATTTTCACTAAGGATAACTAGGTCAAAAAAATTATATTTTTTAGCTACACCTCTACTAAGTAATAACCTCTCTTAAGGGTAGCATCAGATAGATTGGTCGGGTTAGACTTAAACTCGTTGGCCCATTCGAACCTAATAGGCTCGGGTTGGAATTTTTCAAACTCATCATCAATAGCAACCTAACATACTCAAACCATTCTTAGGCGAGTAGAGTTCAACAAGTGATTGGATTTTTACCACATGCAAAAGTAGGGATAAAAATACTTAAAAATACTTGCAAGAGTATAAGGTTGTCGTAGTATAGCAACTTAAGTAAGGTCATTTTCCACAGGGATTGAATGAATAATTTGTGTTTAAACTAATTCTTAATTAATTATTTGAAACAAGGTTTGGAAAAAATTGATTTTGAAATTTTAAATAATAAAACGAATTTTAAATAAAACAATTAAGAAATTAGCAAAGTAAAGAAAACAAAAGAAAACATTTTTGAAAATTAAAGTTGTAAAAGCCTAGGGTTCCGCCGTTACCATTAACAATCCTACGCAATTTTACCAATTGCTTATGAATTTCTACATACATGCTTTGAAGGTTAGGTTATCTGAATGTATATTTTCCTTGTGATGTTCAAGCGAAAAACGTATATCTAACGTGCAACCCGTCTGTAATGTTCAGAGCAAATATAGACATGCAAGACTCATTAAGTTTTAAGAAACCCCTTTGAAAAATCATGCAACCCTTAAGAGCGTGATGTTCGCCTTAAGTGAACTTACAATTACTAATCACAAAAAGCCCTCTTCAATTTCAGGGTGATGTTTCAACATAAATTGCATCACATTACTTGTCTAAAAACCCTAATGGTCGCGAATCACTAAGACAATTATATAGTTTAATCACGGTGATTAATAATTCAAAGCAAGCATGCATCCATTCATAAGCAAATTAATAAAATCACATATTCATGCTAAGGCTTGTGGCTTCACCCTAGCAAAAGAACTAGTTACGAACAACTATAAAAACTAAAGAAAATATATTAACTAGAAAAAGGATTGAAAACACCTTGTAGGTAAAAAGTCTGAAGGTCTACGCGTGCCTTCTCCCCCAAACCCTAATGGCTAAAAAGCCATATTTATAGTACTCCAAATTAAACCCCTTATAGAAAATGTTTTCTAAAAACTAGGAAATAAAATAATAAAAGGATAACTAGGAATTACATTCCTATTATGACTAAGAAATCTGCCCAACATAGAGATAGCCACATTTCTGGACCTTCAGGGCTCCAAAATAGGCCCAAAATGATTCAAATTAAAGATTAAGACCTCCTCTTCAAGTCCCAAGAAGAGCCCAATCCAAAATCCATCATCTTCCAGCCTAAAAGTTGCAAATAAGCTCTGCAGCCCAATCTGCTAACACTGCACGTTGGGCATAAATTAATTTGCCATGATCAGATCTTTCGGGATAAAATTATGAAATTTTGATACAACCTTCTTGATAGATTCACAAACCCACTCCAATTAGAATCACTAAAAAATTCTACTGTTTGATTACTTTATGCTCGAAAAAAGTTCGCGTGTCCTACATTAAAAGTGCATAACAAAGCATCAAAATCTCACTAAAATAATAACCAAAATATACCAAGAATAGGGAATAATATATAGTATAAAATCGCCTCATCAGCAAGTTCCAAAAAATTTGATTGATTGATTGATTTCTTATTTTTAATCAAAGTAAACGAGACCTATATCATGTGAATTTGATGATGTTATATCATTACATGTTACTAATGTATGAGTTTTACTATTCAAAGTTACTAAATTTCATGTGCAATTCTATTTAATATACAATGTATGTTTAAGAATAATTGTCATCCGAGTGGATCGGTTTCAATCGAGTTAATAAACTTCAAACCAACCTAACCTACCTATATTGAACGGGTAGTCGGGTTTTTACCCAAATTTAAAGTTTTAATGTTTGGAACCCAACCCATATAGGGTGGGTTGATTGGTAGAACAACTAAAATGCTCACCCATAACCTCCTTAAAGTTATAAAACTGGTTTCATTCCAATATCATGATTATAGAGGCTTTACTATAGTACAGAAGATAAAGACTCATTAAGATGTACTTTTAAAATAGCTAAAAGCATTTTTAGAGAAATATTTGCGGATTCCAAAAGCACTTAAAGTGCTTCCCAATGATTTACTTGCATGAAACACTTCAAGTACTTTACCATGATTTGCTTGCATTTTTACTAAGGATTGGCTCCAAAAATATTTTCATCACAAGCGTTTTTAGCCATTTTAAAATCACTTCCAAACGAAGCAATAGCCATATATTGATTTTTGAAAATGATTTATTGTTTTAATAACAAATATTTTGAATATAAAGACACCAAACAACCACTTAATTTTTAAATGAACAATTTTTAATTGCATTTTGGAATATGGCCCTATGAAAAATAAGTTGAAAATTTTAGAGCAGCTTAATTAGCAATTTTCAATTGCAATTGAACT